ATAAATTTTTTGTAAATATGGACCACGTTGCACATAAATCCGGATTATCATAAAACCAATCTCGTGCATCACCTTCTAAACATAAAGAGACATAAAAAAGTTTTTCATCAGCCGTTAATTTAAAGATATTCAATGTTTGTTGAAGTTCTCTTAACCATTTAGATACATTTTGTTGCGATTTTCCAGAATATTTTTGTAATTTTTCGAGATTCGTAATTAACCATTGATTTCGTAAGCAATTCGTAACAGTGTCTTGAGTATGAGAATCATCTAATTGTTTTGATGTTGTACATGATGATATCATTTCTGTTGACGGGTCCGTTTTCAATTCTTGGTTTCCAAAATATTGCAAAAATTGTTTCATAAATGTCATAAAAGTTGGCATGTGTTCTTGTTCTTCAATATACCAAATAAGTGCATCACCAGTTAAAATTTCTGAAATTAATTCATTACGTTCAAGAGTTGTTAGTTGTAATAAATCAAATTTTTCTATAATAGATTTTAACCAAATTTTTGGATTAGCATGTCCATCAAATTTTTGTATTGAACTTAAATGCTGTCGAATTAAAAGTTGACGTTGTTGATCATCTTTGACTAATCGCTGATCATCTATTTTATGACCTAGCGGTTTGGTTGTTATTGTCAGATGTTGTTTTTCATTTTCATCTAAATCAGTTGATGTATGTGCAGGATTAATATTAACTTGTGCAGAACTTGTCGTTGCTAATAATGGTTGTTTTTCGTTTTTGGTTGATAAAAGTAAAGAATCCATATCTGTTTGTGTAAAATCAGTGGTAGATCGAGTAGATTTTATGTTCATCAATGTTGTTTCTAGCCAAATATTTGCTTTGCCTGCCACGCGGAATTTTTATTTTAGTTTTTAAGAAAAGATAGGCTAGTGCACCATTGTTAGGTTCCGAACTTTCTTTATTTAAAATAATATGAAGAACCTAAAACTGTTCACACGACATGACAAAATCACACTTTTTCGACAGACTCGAGAGAAGAAGGAACGAAAGAGATGATATGGAAATCAGAAGGAGGATCGATCATCTATATATATATATATATAGATGTCGGATCCTAACATACGCTTTCTCATGATTTATTTCAAAGCTACAAATTGTAAACAGTTTTATTCTATGATTTTTTTAACTCTGTGAGAACCGAATTTTTCTCTAATCGAAAAACACATTTTTCAACCTTTTTATTGTATTTTAATTCAAAATGGCTACATAAAAATATTATGATAATTAAAAACATCTCTTAAACAACATAGGACTTTGCAAGTAAAGCGCTTGATGATTCATTGAAAATTTGCTTTCTTGATGTTACAATAAGCTCATCGTCTTCTTTTTCCTTTCACAGATAAATGCGTTTTATTGTCTGTTTGGTGATGTTAGTTTAGACTGATTTTTAGACGTTCTCGAGAAACAAAAGATCATAGGAGAAAAGAGAAATTAAGACGTTACTATACCATAAGAAAAAGAACAAAGGGTATTTGAAAAGAATTTATATCACAAAAGAGCAAAACAGAAAAAAGTACCGGATAAAAAATGCAGAGTGTGGGTGTGGGTGGTGTGGATGTGGTCTGTGGGTCCTGCAATAAGAAAGACCCTCATGCTCACACCCACACCCGCATACACACATTCACACCCCGATAGCCAGAATCAGGATTGGACCAATTTTCGAAACGATTCACTTAGGCAGCAGATCAAGAGACAAAAATGATGGGTTGATATAGAGGGTCGCGAAGAATGCGCACGACAGAACTTGCGCAAGGCGCTTTTCTGACTACTAAGTGATGATATGATACGAGTACACTGTAAAAAGTTGGCGGAGAATAATAAACCCTTCAAAAGAGTTTATTAACCTGATACATTCTATCATAGACTCATTTTCGTTTCACAAACCCTTCAATATACCTTTTTAATTCATAAACCTCGGCAGGAGTATTTTATACATTGTACTTTCATAAATCCTTTAGGGTATATAAGTATTCATATACCCTTTGAAAGGTATATCGACTCCATAAACCTTTCTCAGCAGGGTTTCTTATTCTACAATTTTTTTTCTAAACGGTATATCAATAAGTGCTTCCTATAAGGGTTTATGCAGCCGATATACCTTTTAAAGGGTATATGAATACTTACATATCCTAAACGATTTATGAAAGTGCAATGTATAAGACACCCTTGTCAAGGTTTATGAATTGAAAAGGTATATTGAAGAGTTTGTGAACCTAAAATGGGTATATGATAGGATTTATGAGGCTAATAAACTCTTTTGAAGAATTTATGATTCTGCGCCAGTTTTTTACAGTGTATGAGGGTGCTCATGAGAGCTTGGATGTGGGTGTGAGTAGTGGTGTGGTTTACAGTTTGTTTTTTTCCTTTCAAAACCTTGAGTTCTCAATCCGTGCATCTTTTTCATAGACCTCTGATATAGGACTCAATAACTCTTGAAAATCACAGGCCCATTAGAAATGATGCGACTCCTTCTAAAAAAAGGATGTCGAAATCCAAAACAAAGTTACCTAGAGCAGTCAGTATACTGGACTAAACGATGAAATTGATGGATAAACGTCGATCCCGATTGGAGCTGGGCTCCGGGCGTGATTTTCCCTATGCAATCCATGCCACTCTGAAAAAAAAGAGGTGTTTTGCAGAATCCTTCGAAAAGTTTCTGTAGATTTCGAAAAGGCTCCAAATGTGTTCAAAGTCTCAAAAAAAGGATAAAAAATTCTACAGAACCTTGTGAAGGTTCTGCAAAACTCCTCTTTTTTTTCAGAGCAGGCACGTAAGCGTGCATTGAAAAGTCCGAACGGAAGCCTAGCTTCATAAGTTTATAGCGTTCATTCGACATGTGCAGAAATCATGATTAGTGTTATCAATAATACCCTGTTTCTTGGAGATTGTTTTGATCGCATTTTACATGTATAGCTAAATGGAATCGAGCTTTGAAGGTGTCGATTGGGTAGCCCAGATCGAGATATATCTTGATTTATCAACTTTATTTATAGATGTTTGTGTGGGGGAATAGTAACTGGTGTTCCTAGAATTTCATGACTTTTATGGATGAAGGAACAGTGTTTAGAAAAGGGTACTCATTCGATAGAACTTCTTGAGTCTGTTAATCGTGAATCGCTTCAAGAACTATTTCAATACCCATTGAAGATGTCCTATGTACGTAATGAAATAGGGCATTCGAAAATTGGCGATTCTTTTTCAGGTTTTTGGAAATACTCATGTTGCGAGTGGCCGTTGCCTTTGTAACATAGAAGAAGTTTGTAGTGCTTGTGTGACCGAAACATAAAAGATAAGCACTTACTCGATGAGCTTTGTGATTTTAATCGGGGTGTGGGTGTGGGGTGTGGGTGTGGGTGGGTGTGTGGTGTGTAATCAGAGAACACTGAAATGCACACGCACACGCACACGCACACACACACGCACACCGACACCACACCCAAACCCCACACCCGACACCCCACACCCCCCCCCCCCCCCCCCCCCCCCCCCCCCCCCCCCCCCCCCCCCCCCCCCCCCCCCCCCCCCCCCCCCCCCCCCCCCCCCCC